GAGCTGTAAGAGAAGAGACCGGACGGGATGGGATCGGGGGGGAAGAAGTCTAGGTAGTCTCCGTTCGACGGACATTGGCATTGGAAGAGACAAGAACCCGCTGTCGAAAATACAAAGGATAGGGCGGGACAGAACAGCCTCTCAGCGTGCGTTGGGGGCAGGGGGATCCGGTTCCTTTGTAAGAGGCAGCAGACAGGTGGCCAGCAGCAACCATCAGGAACCCGAACTACACCGCACAACAATTCGCGTGAGCAGAAGGATGATCCAGGCTCCAGAGCAAGTAGTATTGGAGCATTGGAACCATACGGTAAGGATTATACAAAGTAAAGGTAAGGTAGGGAATGGAAAGTATCGGGGTGGTCCCCAAGGCCTGGCTTTGGTGAGGAACAAGGCCCTGTCACGACGCAGGGATCATCAATTTGCCCCACACATTCCTTAACGCTCCGTCATGGCCTGCCACCACCAGTGATCACGACCCCATCTGTTTCCCAATGACGAAGATGGTCAGCCAGAACGGCTCCCCTCCTTCGATGACCAAAACTGGTCGCCGACGTAGAGTGAGGCTATTCGTCAACCCCATGGATACAGTGAGCTAGAGCCTGTCTCTATCGGCAGCTCAATGGCTGCATCGAAGCTTGTCACCTTGGTCAAGCCTATCCCACGTCTTGGCCTTCATCTTGCAACTTTTCCCAAATCGATACAGCTAGTTGCATCCGTACAGCCAGTAGCAGGCTATCTACTACCCGTACACCAGCCAGAACATACCTTGTGCGTGTCACGCTTGGAGCACCAGATTCGAGGGCAGATATATGCTGCGTAGGGAGTAATTCCGGCACAGGCCCTGCCAGGTTTGAGGCACAAAATTGACAATTCCAGTCGCGGCGTCGATGACTCGGCGCAGGGCAAGTGGTTATTGGTCCGACCGGGGGAGCAGTCGCCTCGTGTGCCTTGGTGCGCTACCTTTGGCAGTGAAGTGAAGGTCGAATCTTCGTTATAAAAATGTCGCGCTCTCCCGCTGCCTAAGTTGCACACGCAGTATTTTTCTTAGGTTCCATTCGATGAAACGAGTCGGGGTTCAAGGCAGCGCATGACTTGGAGGCCGGTAGAATAGGAGTGATTGGAAATGGCCGGGAATGCGCTTGTTGCTGGCCAGCGATCGGCCCCTGGCAACATGTGGCATGTGGTGCCCTTCCTTTTTTCCTCTCTTGTGCTGCGTGCCGGACCAACCGACAAATGCGGTCAATCTCATCTGGTTTTTCTGACGTCCCCCGTCTGCCGCTGGTGGGCTTCTGCACCACCGATCGCGAAAGCCATTGCGTTCAAAATAATATCCAGTCGACAGAAGCATTCCGGGGAGCCCTCATGATCTCGATCGTTCCAATCCTTTCCATCTTATATGTCCCCTTGAGAGCACTCGTGAAAAGCTGCGCGTGTTGCTGAAACGTAGGCGCTAGATTGACTCGTGGACGAACTGGTTGAACTTCCGAGCAAGGAAGCAGCCACACGTAGCTAAGGGTGAGATTCAATAACGTGGACGTTGCTAATAACCCCAGCAAAGGGAATGGCTGGATATCCCCATCGCTAGAGAGAGAGCATTTCGATGGCGACAAAGGGGGCGAATGGATTTTAGGCCCGTAAGAAGAAAGACGTGGCTCGTTCGTCGTTCGGCTCCAGGGCTGCACAATCCAGGCTCAAAATGGAGCCAGCTGCTTATACGCCTTGTGGGTGTCCACGCCCGTCGTCGATTGCACACCACGGAGAACTCCTCACCTCATTAGTCGCGCTCGCCGAGGCTGGCCCCCCGTTTGTTTCGCGCGATGCGGTCGCTGCCGCCGATGGCTTGCGGCGCGGTCGTGGCCCAAGCTGTGGGAGCACCAACTTCACTCAGCAGTACCTGTGCTGGAGACAGACATTTCTGCCCTTTTGTTTCCCTCATCAGATCAAACTGATTTGAGGGCCCTGACACCGGATTGTGCAAAGCCTTCAAAACAAATGTCTTGGAAAGAAGAGAACGTGAGGGAAGGTTCCTCCATGTCTCTCATCATCGTTAGGATAAGGTACGTTCAAGTTGTCTTAGGTAAGGTAGGTAGTGCCGCAACTCCTGGAATGGTGGAGGAAAGATACGTACCTCTTAGTCGTCTGCCAGCGGTCCCTTGCGGCTCCACTCCGACGTCCAAGTTGGTACGTATCCGTTGGGATACATGTCCATGTACTCCGTACCTTGCCTGTCTCTCCACGACGCCTTAAACCTCAGCGCGCTGAGTCTCTGTGCCAGGAGGGAATGGGTCGAGCTGGCTCGTGGTTTGAACTTTGAAACACATCGTAGTATTGTTTGCGCTGATGTGTCTTCAAACCGGACGGTCGCCAGAAACGTCAACAGGATATTGCACTCGCCTAAGAACAAGTCCCGGGATTGCGGGAGCGGGAACCAGTGTGCCTCGATCTCATCTGTACTCCTCAAGTACTCTGTGTGGTGGTGCGCGCGCCTTGCCTCGGAAGCTGGGCGGCCAACGGTCGGCATCTGACTGTTCTGTTGATGCAGCGCTCGCTCTGCTGGTTGAAACCATCGCTCTTTACCTCGCATTGTTCCTCAGAGACGGGAAACTTGGGTGAATGGTTTGGGCGAGCCATTTCATACGGAAACCTTTACAGTGTTCTGTCAGTAGTAGCAGACGGTACCTAACTCATAGTGTAGGTTTCAGAAGGAGCTAGAGACCGATGCAAACATGGTCGAGGCCCCAGGCTGATCTGCCACCAACGACGTGCCGTGTTCGCACAGCTCACGTGTAAGGATACAGTTCGGTTGACTCCGCCGAACAGAAATTATCAGGAAGATATTGACGATGTGGAAATGCATCCATAAGAAGCATTAGCGGTGTCTTGACTTGGCTGTGTTTACAACCAGTGCTGGGACTAGTAATTGACAGAAAGCCACATTGCATGCCAGGCGAACTGATACACGATGGGATTGTCAGCCGAGAGGTGATGTTCAGGTTAAGAAAAGGGTGAGGGTGGCAAAGGATGGGTGCTCAAAACCGACAGCGGGGGGGCATTGGAAGCGTTGCCGTGATAACCTCCGGAATTTGTTACCCCCATGTCGTGCATATAAGTTTGACAGGGCTTTGATGCACATAACCAAGCTCAGTGCGAAAATCGTAGTAGGGAATGGCGGATCATTACGGTCGGTCTATTGTCCGAAGTCATGCTATGACTGATTGGAAAGGGCAAGAAAATTGATTAACGGGGGGTAAGAAAAAGAGTACCAAGGGAAGACAGCACACGTATGAAGTTGGGTGTCATTAACGAGGCACCGTCCCATCCGGTTGGTGTGCAGGACCAGTTGAGCCAGAAGTGACCACCTCATGCGGCCACCGTTTTGTGGAGAAGACAGCCTTCCAATGTAGGGCGACGATCGGCCAGCCTGGAGCGATATGCGAATACAGACTTAAGTGGCTAGGAAAGCAGAAGTAGGGCCGGTTGAATGGGCGCCTACTTGAAAAGAGAGGGAAAACGCAGGCGCCAGACGGTGAGAGCAGGAGGTGCTGGTGATTTGATATTGGGGTGGGCGACCAAGAGCCACTGAGTATCCCAGGAGGTGGGATGAAAATGGAACCGACACACATGGATGATGACGGGGGTATGGACGACATCTCGTGGGCACATCCCTACGTGGTAGGGAGCCCTTCGTTTCCACAGGGTTGGACAAGCCAGGGTGCAACGAACCCAGGAAGGGCATCGAAGGAAGAAGCAGGCGAGTCGTTGACCTGTCGAACATAAGCCGCAGCCTTCAATCCGCAAGCAACAATTTAGAGACGCGGCGACTGCAAAAGTCAATGCTGTCGGTCCCTGCAAAGGCATGATCGCTTTCGCCCGGGTTCGCATCTGCATTCCTCTGCAGTGCTCTTTGTCACCATATGAGGAGCATGAAAGATATCGCGGTGGTTCTTCGAATCAAGACGATCAAGACGGTGATCAAGGTTTGACTGGATGATGCCGGACGATGTTTGAGGCGTAAACTGAGCGATGTGACATGAGAGTTGAGGAGGAAAGACTGTCGATATTCTGGCCGGATTCAAAAGGCAGGCGCGACTGGGGATGAGAATAAAGCAGGAAAGCAGGAAGGGGAAGTGGTTGGCTGGGAAAGGCGAGCGATGTCAAAACTGCAAGGGAAAGTGCCAAAACAGATGACGAGATGGAGGGACAGGCAGGATGGACATGGTACTGCTAGGTAGCAATTGTGTGGTAAAAAAAAGACAGACAGCCAAAAAGTGACTTTCTCGCACCTTGCCATGAAATGCCCAGGCAGTCGCCTCGTGCCACGCTGCGATGCGTGTCTGCCAAAGTACTCGTACTTCCATGCCAAGTACTGTGTGCGTAGAACCCCGACCCATACCCAGACCCAACGAGCCAGCTAGCCCCGGCCGGCCGGCTCTCTGAACGTCAACGTCGTTACCTCGACTTGGTCGCGAGCGAAACCAATTGAATAGACTGATAGCTCGCATCCGATGAGGTCAAGTCGCTGGCGCTATTTGATGGCACAAGGTGCGAGATGTAATTTATTCAGAATTGATTCGGCAAGTCGGATAGCAAGAGATGTGGTCGGGGCAAGGTATCTGATGTCCGATGAAGGCAGGGTAGCGTATGCACGGAGAACGGGTACCAGCCAAGGTACGTCGATACCTTAGCTACCAAGCGAGCGAGCGAGTGAGCGGGACACGGAGAGAAAGAGACATGGCTATTTTGCTAGTGTACTTAGACAGGGACAGGAGACGACGGAGACCATAAGAAGAGAGAGTGAGAGTGAGAGGGCGCACGCGCGGAGGGACAGACGTCGCCTCATGCAGGTCTTGGGCATCGTCCACACACACTTTCGCTTCCGTTCTCACTCCCAATCTGTTTCCATATCTCTTTCTCTTTCTGTGGGATATTTCCTTGACGGCCTTTCCCTGAAGGTGCCGCACTCAATCGACGGAATCTCTCGTCTCTTTCCCCTCCTTCCCTCAAGCACGTACATTTTCGCGCGCCTCTGCGGACGCGAATGAGTATAAAGTAGGACTTGCCTTGACTGTGTTCGGGGCTAGACCCTTCGAACCGATCGAAGGAACAGAACGAAGAACAAGAACCGCAGCAAAAGTACGGTGACGATCTGATAGAAGGCAACGGGTAGTGAGATGGACGGGGGGCGTGCGGTTGGATTCTGCGGCGTTGGCAAGCCTGTGATGAGGTGTGAGGTCGCCGGGCCCTTGCCCGGTCTTTGGTGCGAGAGTGATGACTGCGGGAGCGGGTACAGAGGTACAGAGTGGATCCGTCTGTATCATGCAGGTCGTGGAGACGTATCGATACCCTCTGGCTACGCATACTTTGTGTGTAGCCACGAGTAGCATTCCCCGACCTGCAGCAGATCGATACCTCTCACCTCCCACGCAGCCCCATTCATCCGCAAGAGAAAAAAAAAAAAGAGCGAGGGGGCCTGCCGCTGCTGCTTTCTCTCGCTCCTGCATCTGTTGCTGCTGTTGCTTCTTTCCTGCTCCCGCTGCCGCCCTGCTGGCCCAGACGGGACTGGAGGAGGCATTACTCTAGCTTACCTTAGCATTGGTCTGTCGGTACGCAGGTACGTATCCGTACATTTCCAGATTTCCATATGGCACACACACACACGCACTCTCTCTCCCTCCCCCCCCCATTCTCCCATATTAATACCTACTACTTGTCCCATCAAAGTCCCTTGGCCCTTGCCCCGTGTGTGTGAGAGTACCTTTCCATAGATTAGCTGGGGAGAGCTACATACCCACCCGACTTCATTGCGGTGCGGCAGTAGGAGCCATCCATCGTAGCAGTCTCCGTAGCGGCAGCCCAGATTAATGGATGAGGCAAGACAAGGCAAGTCGCAAAGCCAGGTTAAGGTAAGGTAGGAAGAGCAGGTAGGCCAATCTATCGGTAGGCAAGTGGATGAGGTAGAGGCGGATCAGGTGCAGGTCCGTCGGTGCTTGGTGCTTTTGCTTTGCTTTGCTCTGTGGTTGCTGGTCCTGGACATGGACCTGGACCTGGACGGGACTTGGTGCCATGCCGGCGCTGCTATGAAAGGTACACCGTACACCTACACACCTCAGAGCAAAAGGCAGGTACGGGGTCGGTCGACCTTCTTCGACGTTTCTTACCATTTTGCCTTCCGCTTGTCTGGACCTGGACCCATCTTCTTCTTCCCGTCTCCTTCCTTCCTTTCCACATCGCTTCCTCCCTGGCCCATCTTGACCACCTTCACAAACACGCTCGATTTCGGCTCTCTAGCTGGCTCCATTGCTTCCATTCTCCCTGGTCGCGCGGATCTTTCGAACCTTCCTCGTCTGTTTCCTACCTACTGGGGTCCCAGCTTCTCACTCGCCCTTTCCTTTTCCATCGTCTCGTCTCTCACACTCACATTCTCATTCTCATTCATCTACACTACCACACCTCACTCACCTCACTTCACCTCACCTCACCCATCACCACCACCACCGCCCACCACGCTCAAACCCAGACGCACATTTCTACTTCTCCCACATTCACAATCCAGATTCCACACTCAACCGCGCGTCACCACCTCGACGCGCCTTCTCCCCGCGGCTTCCTTTTCTGGCCGATAGAGCTCCAAGCCTTTTACATATATCGTTCCTCCACAACTCGGCACTGTCACCCACACATATCCATCTTCATCTCATGGGTTGCGTCTGGCTCACGGCCGCCTGCCTCACCGGATAAGCAGACTTCGGGTCCCATCTGGCTCAGCGTATGGATCGGAGCCTCCGCCGCCTTGCAGACGAACTTCACCCTGTCGGCCCTCTTGCATCTCATCACCCGCGGGAAGGGCCCCGACATATTTCATCTCACCTCCCGCCAACGCGCAGGTAGCCACCGCCATCATGGCACAGAAAAACCAAACCGCCAGCAGTTCTGACGACCAATCTGCCAGCGCCACACCATCTGCACAAGACGCCTCGGATTCCACGCAGCCTGCCACTTCGGGCGCGTCGACATCCAAAGCAACATCTGCCGCCCAGAAATCACATCAGACTGAGCTGGACGCCGCCCTTCGCAACGCTCAACCCACGATCAAGTCATCTGCCATGGGCCTGGACCAGTCTTCAAAGGACGCTGCCGCCTTCGAAGCTGCGAACCCTTATGGGACGCGGTCACGAAACCGCACTGGCTCATCGCGCCCAAACTACGCCGAGGACAAGGATCTCGATGTCGACATGTATGATTACGCCCCAGAGAAGAAGGATCAAGAGTCCAAGAAATCGGCGCGTCACAGTAATGTGTCGGCCGCGTCCATCCAGGAGAACGCGCGACCCAACGGCTCAACCCGCAAGGCCCTGCCATCTGACGACACAAAGTCGACCGTCCCTCAGAACGGAGCAAAGGACGTGCAGCCAGCAAATTCCACCCCGACCACGCAAACACCGGCTTCGACGAACTCCACGCAACCCTCAAAAAAGCGCAAGGCTGCTTCACACGCTGCAGCTGCGACTTCTCAACAGGCTCATGCTTCTGCGACTGCCTCATCGTCTGGCGCCAGCACAGGGGCATCACGAAAAACGGCGTCGGGTCCTTACGCTAGCTCTTACGCAGAGACGAACATGCTCAGTTTCGAGAACTCCGGTGCAGTTCCCAGAGATGGAAAGTTGGTGGCGGATGACGGTACCGTACTAGCACCCAATGGTAAGACAGCAACAAACCACACACGCACCTTCACGTACCCTCACTCATCATCCTTGCGCCCCGTCCCAATTTTTTCCCTCCTTCTTCCTGTAGAGGATTGTTCGCTGATCTAGATTCACAGACAATGTCTATCTCGTGTGTGAGCCTCCGGGCGAGCCATACTACCTGGGTCGCATCATGGAGTTTCTCCACATGCAGAATAACAGCAAAAAGCCGGTGGATGCACTTCGCATCAATTGGTTCTACAGACCCAAGGATATCGGCAAGAAGGTCAATGACACCCGACTAGTGTTTGCGACGATGCATTCCGATATCAGTCCTTTGACAGCCTTGCGTGGTAAGTGCCACATCCTGCACAAGGCGGAAATTCCCAACATGGACGAATACCGAAAAATCTCGGACAATTTCTGGTACGAAAAATTGTACGACCGCTACATCCAGAAAAATTACGATCTGATCCCTACGTCGACAATCGTGAACGTGCCTGAGAGGGTGAAAAAAGTGCTAGACGAACGCTGGAAATTCGTTATTGTGGAGCAGGGCCGCGGAAAAGAGTTCACTAGTGCGGTGAAGTCCTGCAAGCGATGCAGCGGCTATTGTGCAAGGTTAGTCCACCCACGCAGCAGTCTCATGGAGAGTTGGGGTCACTAACAGCATTACAGCAATGACTCGGTCGACTGTGCTGTGTGTAAGAAGACATACCACATGAACTGTGTCAGGCCGCCCCTGCTCAAGAAACCCTCCAGAGGCTTCGCTTGGTCCTGCGCTGCTTGTAGTCGCGCACAGGAGCGCAAATTGGAGGCTCGGCATACTCCTAACCCAAACAGTCTCAAGGAAAATGCAGGCGATGCTGATGATGAGGACTTGTACGACGACGAGGACGATGAGATGCAAATCGACACCGAACGGACGAGTCCTGCCGAGGACGACGACGCCCATCGTACTGGCACTGCAGAGCAAATCTACCAAGCCAGCCTGTGGCCTTGGCGCTACCTTGGAATGCATTGCAGGCCCGAAGATGCCCTCGACTACGATGATCGAATTTACCCCCGCGCAAGCACTCGCATAGGTCCCAAACATCAAGCACCTGTCCTTCCTTGGCCAGGCCAGCCTGTACAGTATCAAAAGCCTCTGGAGCTCAAGAGGACGGGGAAGAAGGGGCCTGGACTATCGAAAGAAGCACTTGCCGCCTTGGAGGCTGAGAAGATCCGACGTGAGAAACGTCCTAAGTGGGTTCAAGATGAACCTGCAGGTTATGTGGCGAGAGGAGAAGACGACGACCCCGACGACCCGAACGCCACAGCTACACGTATTTGGTTGCCTCCCCCAGCAAGCGAGAAGAATGCGGGGTGGGAAGCCAAGCTCGACCGGTACATGAAAAAGGCGGAAGAGTTGACGGCCAAGTTTGGTCTGGCGAAAAACTCGACCAACTTTCACGATATTGCTTTGGCAACGTACTATAGCAGTGATTTCGATGAAGATCGCGCACTGAAGGCGCTCTCGGAAGTGAACAAGTCGACTTTCAAGGAACCCGACCTGACGGCCACGGAACAGAAGAGGTTCGAGGAAGGTGTCAGCAAGTACGGATCCGAGCTTTATCTCGTCAAGCGACACGTCAAGACTCTTTCGCCCGGACAGATCGTGCGATACTACTACAACTGGAAGAAAACCCCGCAAGGCAAACAGATTTGGGGGAATTTCCAGAACAGAAAAAGCAAGAAGGAAGCCAAGAAGGCTGAGGTTGCCGCAAGCAAGTTGCAGGACGATATCGCCGATGATGCAGACGACTCTGCGTTCGATTGCGACAAGGCGGCAAGCAAGAAGAAGAGCTTCGTGTGCAAGTTCTGCCACACTAAATATTCTAGGCAATGGAGGCGAGCTCCTAATGCATCGGGAACACCTGTCAGCGAGGGCAAGACTTCCACTAAGGACAAAGGCCAGTACATCAATGCTCTTTGTCGCAGATGTGCGGAGCTCTGGCGGCGCTATGGCATTCAATGGGAAGAAATGGACGAGGTCGCCAAAAAGATCGCTCAAGCAGGTGGTCGAGCCTGGAAGAAAAGACAGGACGAGGAGCTGCTCAAAGAGCTTGAGGCAGCCAAGGAAATGCATACCTACTGGAACACCCCTCCGCCAGTCATCGCTCCAGATCCGGTTGTGGCAGTTTCAGCGGCACCTTCGAGCGAACCTCCGCGGAAGAAGCTCAAGGGATCAGCCCCAGAGAGAGACTCGGAGTCGCTCGCCTCAGACTCAGCTCCTGCTGCCGCTCCACCGAAGAAGAAGGAAAAGGCGGTCGAGAAAGAGAAACCAGCGCCTCCACCAGTTCCAGAAATCCCGAAGCCCAAGACTATGCCTTGCGCAATTTGCAACCAGTTGGAGCCCTTGGGAGATCAGCATCTGTCGTGTAAGGAATGCAGACTGACAGTCCACCGCAATTGTTATGGAGTTGTCGACAATAGGCACCCCGGCAAATGGACCTGCGATATGTGCGCCAATGACAAGAGCCCACAGGTTTCGATTGTAAGTTGTTTACCGTCCTTGACTAACATCATTTCATATGCTGACTTCTGGACAGCAATACAAGTGTGTCTTGTGCCCGATTGAATATACGGAGCATGACTTCGTTGAGCAGCCCAAGATCTCCACTTCCAAGAAGAAATCAGAGAAGGAAAAGGAGCGCGAGAAAGTGGAACGAGAGCAGGCACAAAAGGCTGCCGACTATTACAAGAAAAAGCAGGAGGATGCCAACCGCCCAGTCAACCCCAGGGAGCCTTTGAAACGGACCGCAGACAACAACTGGGTC